AACCATCACTTTGAGAACGATTCGTAACTATTCGCGTCATTCTTCTGCAGCATATTAACACAGAGCTCGCAGACAGGACCTCTACAAGAATGGCGGCCTCATTTCTGTCACCTCCCGCATTCTTATCGTTGACATGCTGCAATCCGACATTCCAACAGAGCTCATAACGGGCTTAATCGTTTTACGTGCTGAAAAGTGCGTCACTGACAGCTCTTCTGCGTTGTGTTCGGTGATGAATCGATGTACCACCTAGGGTCACTGCCCTCTCCCTTGAAGCATTCATTGTCCGGCTATACCGAGAAAAGAATAAGACTGGCTTTCTCAAAGCATTCTCGGACCAGCCTGAGCATATCACCAGTGGCATGTCTCCGCTGAAGAACATCATGAAGGAGCTTCAATTAAGACGCGTCCATATATATCCACGGTGTGTGACCTCCTTCCTCACTGATGTTCGTGTTTTTTTTTGGCTTCTGGTGCTCTTGTTTTCGTCTTTCTCATCCGTTTTTCGTTTTAGATTTCACGAAGACGTCAAGAACACGCTCGAAACGCGTAAAGCAGATGTCATCGAATTGTATCAGCGTCTTACAGAGCCTATGGAGGCAATTCACCATGCGATAGTCCAATGTATGACCATCACACTTTCCGAGCTCAAGAGATCTAATAAGACAGTAAGAATCTTTGAGCTGCCTTATTAGCCCCTGAACGAATCCTCACTCATTCATCCCACAGCTTGAACTTGATGATCTTAATGTAGAGTCCGCATACTTCCGTTCCTTTGATGCAGTGGTCCGCAGGCAATTAGACCCCGTATGGCACAAGGTCGGTCCACGGACGAAGCAACTCGTGGGTGACCTCGCGACGCTCAGACGTCTATTAACGTATGTTTTCTACTCTTTTAATCGTATACTTTGTCTCTGCTATCTACTATATTTCATGTGTTATGCTGTCCATTTTATACCGTTACTGATCTAGGCCCTCCATCAAGGTACCTGTTGTCCTATGACCCACTCGCTTTTCACGCATACCTTGAAACTCTCGTAGCCTCAAATACCACAACCGTAACTGGTGCAGCTAAACAACACCAGTCTCCTTGGATGCTCACTGATGCGGCTAATATCATTTTTAGCACCGCGAAACAACGGTGTTATGTCCTTACTGCTTCAAAACCTACATCTTCGGTTCCTGGGAGGCAAGTGATTGACGTTGACAATGAAGACGCATGGGCTGCACTTGATGAGGCCCATGGGTCAACAGGAAGTAATAGTAGAGATAGTGGGAAGAAGAAGGAAGACAAGAAACCATGGGTTCCGGATAACATGTCTCCAGTGCTCGAAGAGCTTCCAAAGTGGGATCTCCTTGCAGATGTACTTCAAGAAATCGAGGAAGAGTTGATGAGACAGGAGGCAGTGTCGACTCGTGAGTCCCACTGACCGAAAACCGATTTTCTTGCTTGATGCGCGTCAGGTCCGCCAACTCGCGGGACCAATACGGTACTTGTCATGACCTCGTCTCCACGTTCTTCTACCCTTGTGAGTGAGTTCCTGGGGGAGATGGACGGTACTGCTCCGAAAGGCTCTCGTGGACGATCCATGATGGAGCGCAAATTACGGACATACCTGTATTGGAAAGGCCAGAACGCCAGACAAAAACAACCACCTCGGTTCTCTGCCCTGCAGCCACAGGCATCATCGCAACCTGAGGGCGAGATTAGTGAAGCTTTGAAGAGGAAAGATAAGACGAGACAAGAGCGAAGTGCAAATCGGAGAAGGGTGCGTGGCGGTGCACCAATGACTGTTGCACCAAGTAAACCAGCGGTTGTCGATCCAAAAGTGGAGTCGAGAGACGATGGAGATGATATCGCAGCCTTGTACGTCAGGATGCTTGTCATTGTGCATTCCTCACTAAGATTGGATTCAGCATTGCAAGTCAACCTTCAGACCTCCTTGTCTCCTCCGATGCAGACGCTCTCCTCTTTGAGACGCTTCTCTCAAGCGAAGCAGAAATAGACTTTGATACACACTACGGCTTGCTTGCGCCCTCGCAGATGGTTGTTGTGCGAGCATATACTGATGACACGGACGACCAGATTCTCGCAGAACTGCAACCGAGATTTATTGTGATGTTTGAACCCAACCTTGATTTCGTGAGGCGCATTGAGGTCAGTCTTTCATCTAAGAGCTGTTGACACCCTTGAGTTTGATGCGGCAACTTGATAGGTGTACAGAAACTCTAACCCTGGTATGGGCGTCCGTGTATACTTCATGGTCTACCAACTCTGTTGCGAGGAGCACAAGTATCTTGCTGGACTGAGGCGCGAGAAGGAATCTTTCGAGAAGTTGATCAAGGAACGCGGAGTACGTCGCTCTGTTTCACTATCTTACGCGTGGTGCGAGTCGTTCATTACTATGTCTAGTCTATGCTCCTGCCGATCTTCGAGGACAAACACGCTGGGAAGAGCGATGCAGTCATCAAAACAATCAGCACCCGTCTCGCAGGCGGAAGGAAGGAGCTGAATACTGTGCCATCGCAGGTAATCGTCGACATGCGGGAATTTCGTTCCACACTACCTTCGCTTCTTCACGCATCTGACCTGCTCGTTATTCCGGCGACGCTGACTGTCGGGGATTACATCCTCACGCCAGATATGTGCGTCGAGCGGAAGAGCATACCTGATCTAGTCGCGAGCTTCAATAGCGGTCGATTGTAAGTCTCTCGGATTCGTGCTTCTTTATTGCTGACTAGTTGCAGGTACACGCAATGCGAGCTGATGTCGGTGCACTATAAGCAGCCCATATTACTCATCGAGTTCGAGGAGAACAAATCGTTCTCACTTGAGGTACATCTTACACGACAGATCTCCAAAGATCTAGTATCTCACCTCTCTTTCAGACCGTAGCGGAATCAGCAAAGTCGTATGCCAAGCCCACAAGCAAATATCCCGCGAAGAAATCAACAGGTCCAACAGATTCTGATCGCGCTCCTCCCTCTATTCAATCCAAACTTGTTCTCCTCATGCTCCACTTCCCTCGTGTTCGAATCATTTGGTCGTCATCCCCTTATGGTACAGCAGATATATTCAACGACCTCAAAGCCAACGCCTTCGAGCCGGACCCTAACCGCGCGATTGCAATCGGCGCCGAGGAAGACACAGCAGCGGGAGCAGGCATCAACGCTGCTGCAGAGGAGCTGCTCCGATGTCTACCAGGAGTGACAGCGAAGAATGTTAAATATGTGATGAACAAGGTGAGGAGTGTCCGGGAATTGTGCGAGCTGGACAGAAAGGGCGTGCAGGATATTTTGGGTGTTGAACCGGGGAATGCGTGTTATGACTTTATGCATCGGGGAGAGAGGAAGACAGGCAGTTTATAACCTTCGTTTGTGTTGGAAGGCAAGATACTCGTCGAAATGTTGGATGAAATCGTACATGACTTAGGAAGCACGAAGGTGAAGATGTAGAACTGCAAGTCGGTCTTGTTCGCGGCTTCTCTGTAAAAATATAACATTGAAACAAAACATGGGCACGCACTGAGAGATTTGAGCACTTCGTCGTTATGTATGCGATTTACAAACTTAGACCCTGTGCCTTGTCAAGTCAACGAGTAGCGCTGATATATAGACGGTTAATGCAGCACAGTCGAATTACCAAGTACACGAGATACATCAAGAATGTCCATTGGGTATCCATCGACATGCCAGCTAGCATGTACAATAATATAAATATATCATAACACCCCTAGTCCACTTCATAACATGCAGGCCCAAATTTTCTCCCACCCATAACCAAGACCACTATACCAGCGTAATTTAGAGAGGGACAACCGTAAATGGGTACCATCAGATCGAATAGCCTCCTCTCCAGGACCAGATATAGTCCCAGTCCCGGTAAATGCCTGTATTTCACTGGGGATGCCGTTTGGGGCCCTCAGCAGGGTTGCGGGAAACGCCAGCAACTCCATATGCATATCAACTCCCCTGTTGCTCAGTCCACTCACACTGATGGGAGCTTTGGTACGCGGGTACGGTAGTGTGACGGTTTGAAGGCTCTTGAAAGAAGCCAATGGAGCGGTCTTCATCCAATCAGGCAGGCGGTAGTTTTGAGATGAAATCAGCGGCTGGGGGTCCGTGTAGTCACGGTATACGTATGTGATGCTTGAGAGGCGACAAATTGAAGCAAGGAAAGCAGATCCTTGGGGAGTGTCTGTGAGGCTGTTCCACTTTGTGCCGTGGACGGGATTCCCAACTGTTAGTGACAGTGTTTGGGTCTTCCACGGAGGCTGGGAATGCTCTTCGTTGACAGGTGTGGCTGGACGGGACTTCCATGCGTGTTCTAGACATTCTATAAGAAGGTCCACACTTTTCCAACTGAGGGCAAGTGATGGTGCAGCAAACATCACCGGAGTGAGAAGGCCGATGGCATGTGAACGCTCAGACGCAGATGTGAAATTGTCATCTGGGGGTCCAATCCACATCTTGCGCACGTGTGATACGTAGTCACATTGAAACACGCTGTTTGCCTTCTTGTATGCTTCTTGTATAAGCAGAGCTTGCATGAATGCTGTCACGTTTCGAGATTTCGGTAGTAATATAGTGTGCAGGAGTTCGGGAAGTGCCGCACGCCTGAAAAATTTGGAGACAAGACAGAGATTAAGTGCGGACGAATATGGACTTGAGCGATCATATCTTTCATCTTGGTCAAAGGTGGGTTGCGCGGCATATATAATGATGATGTGGACAAGCTCTATGGGAAGGTCAGCAAAGCAAAAACGAGCCATGACGGGCGAGCAAGATGTGAAGCTGGTTTGAAGAAGCCCTGCCTTTAATACTTGCCTCATTTATTGTAGCGTCATACACAGCAGTGTAAGCACATTGTGGGTGAGACCACGCGCTATGGCCTGGTGGTCTATAGCAGTGTCCTTGTTCCTTGTAGGTTGCACAATGTGCTCGGGCCCTGTGAAACTTCAAGGTTTCATAGTAAGGACCCTTCGAGCCTGTGGAGCACATCAACGTTTAACGGGCGGACACTCTTCGGCCGGCAGAGAAGGAACTACAGCTTCGGATAGCTCGTCTGCAGACTCCAAAGATGTAGCATCAGAGTTGTCACTGAAGAAGGGGCCGCGCTGTCAATCACATAAGTTAGATATCTATCGAACGGAGCAGGTAATGTCTTCCTCACTTCAAGTTCACTCTCGTTATAATCTTTTCCAGAAACCCATTCATCAGGAAGTCCGAGGGACCGAGACACACATTCCATCGCCTGTGATGTTGGCCAGCATCCAAACCCCACTGCTGTTTGCCTGTAGGTCCTGCTTCTTCGGAATCCTCGAACATCCTTGCTTCTAGTGCGGTTGGACACTTGAGGTCGACGTCAGCCACGAAGCTATTGGTAGAATAGCTTATCATGAGATCAGCCCAAGCCATGTTCAACAGCATGCTATCATTCCATTGTTCGTTTCGAGCTTCGATGCATAGTAGAATAAATTTATTATTGCCTATGGACAATTACAGTGTACGACGTCTAATTCTGTCAGGATGAAAATGAATACTGTTAGAATATCAATTATTATGACAGATCTAAATAAAATATACCTAAGTTATACGGACAGTGTGACAGTTGAGGTGTTTGACGCGGCATGTGGAGGTGGTGAGGTCTGACGCGGCATGTGCTACTTGTGACGCGGCATGAATGAAGTTTGACGCGGCAGTGACGACGCGGCGTGACGCGGATGTGACGCGGCATGGAGGAGGTTTGACGCGGCACTGACGCGGATGTGACGCGGCAACTGACGCGGTATGTGCTATGGTTGACACGGCACTGTAGTAGACCTTGACACGGCATAGAGTGTGGACGTTGATATTAGTACAGAGACTGCGAAGACATTTGAGAGAACTTGTCGTGGTGTGAGTGGTGCTTGACCCAGCCTAAACGAGGCTTCTGACATGCCATGATTGGGGCTTGACGTTGTGGTGCAGGGTATAGAGAGTGGATCGAACTTGGCAGGGTGAGGTCGAGGCTTGACGCAGTGAGACAACACTTGACACTGCGTCTGAAAACCAACATAGATGAACGAATTAGAGGTAATGCAACAATATAGGACTGACGCGCAAGATGCATACTAGAGTCTAGTAGTATGAACGCAGAGGACAAGCACTGTAATTTGGTGAGAGGTGAATACAGCACTATAGAGCCTGTACGCAGGCAGACACTCATATATTGATCATTAACGATGATTGGAATGCGATATGAAGTTGTGCGAACATGATTTGTACATAGGAATTTGTTACAGTGCCGCGTCAATTTCACCTGGCCCATCCCGAAGCTGTGCTCTGTGTTAATTACTCCAAGGTCGGTGTTTAAAATACTGCTTCCCCACGGGCCACGGCCCACCTCTTAGTCCCTTTAACAATCGAAATCGACAAGCTTGTCCCCATGGAGTCAGGACAATCAGGGTCACAGGATCTTTCTGTAGCACGCATACCGTTCACACCGGCACAACGTCAAGAGCTTGATCAAGCCATAGGCAACACACTTTCTCCCACTCTCGTGCAGATGATCCAAGACTCAGACGGTAGACCAGATCTCGAGTCTCGTAGCGCAGGATTATGCTGCGGTCATCTATTGTGCTTTAGTTGTGACCAACCATGCACTCAGATGCAACCACATGGAAAACATGCTCGATAATGATCTGTCCCCGGTTGAGACAGTGCAACAACATCCTGAACTCTGCAAGATAATCCGCAATGCCTGTCAGACTGGCTGTTTTTCCACCATATGTGACACAGGCAAGTGTTTGAGCCAACTCCATAGTTGCGTTTCTGCTGACGGTTACTGGCAACTCAGAGATATTACACCTACCTATTCTAGGTCCTGGTACTCTGAAAAAGAGGAGGGATTTGGAAAAGCTGATATAGATATCACGAAGTTGACGCCACTTTCGCCTGAAGCAATATCAAAAAGGTACGTAACCAGCGTTCCTTTATTTGAAGTAATTCATAGAGCGCGTCAACGTCTACTGGTGGACGGGTGTTGAGTGTAAAAGGGGATCTCGCGAAGGTTCAGTTGACTTCGCCCGCGTGTACGGAGGTTGGAGAGAAGGTCGCGCTTTCGAGACGTATTGAGAAGCATTGGCGGCTTGTAGGCAAGTGTTTCTGCGAACTAAGCATACTCATTCACTGATTTCCCATCAGGTTGGGGAAGTGTACAACGCGGGACGGTGTTGGAGTTGGACTGATTCGCGTCCCATATTATTGCACTTGATGTGACCGGAGCCAATCTGCACATGTATGGTATCATCTCTGTAGCACGCAAATGCAAGTGTTGTTCATTTCAGTAGTACATATGTTTATTGGGATTATTCGCTTTCCTGATCGATGGAGGCTTGTTGGCAACGACAAATGATAGAATCAACCGTGGTACGTAAAGTGTTCGATAATTTTGCATTGTATGTACTGGAAGGATGGGATGGAAGAGATCTTCATGGAGCGCAGGAAAAAGGGCGGGATATGCTATTGATGGGTATGGGTATACTCGGGAGATGCACAACAAAAAAACAGCCAGAAGCGAGTCCAGCGTCCAGGGTTTTTTATCGTTGCATCGAGATCGGGGTGCGAAGTTGTGTTAGCGCCGGGGGGTGCGGTGGAAGTGGAGGCAGCAGCCTGCGCTTGCGAAGATTGGGCTTGAGTTGAACCATTGGAGTGTTGTGTGGTGTTGCTATTGGGAGCGCCTGCGGTGCTTGCGGCAGGGTTCCCGGGTTTGAATGGAATAATTTTCATTCGTCTTTCTCTTGCACATGCGTTCCTCTATGTTGTATGAGATGGGGTTTGAATATCGAATATTCGAGGAGGACAAAGATGACATACACGTTTGCCCTTGGCATATGGAACATCAACGTCTGCTGAGGGACGCTCGCGGAGCTCGATATTGTCACCGCCTTGCCTTGCAGAGAGTCGATTTCGAACCCAGTGGAAAGGACGGGGTCGAGATGACGTATCATGAGCATCGGAATGCATGGGGCGGAATAAAGAGGAAAACCGGCTACCAAAGGTGCTTACATGTGACGCCCACGATCGAGGGTGCAGACGATGTCGTGCTGAAAGCTAAGAACATTGAGGGCAGGGGAAAAAGCACTGGATTAGACATTAACGACGTACGCGAGCGTGATCTGGTAAGTCATTAAAAAACCCTTGGGGTATCTGGCGCTGGGGCATAATGATCGGCTGACGGATTGGACGTCGTGTAGCATCAGCCTACATATGTCCAAATAAATAGTGAAATCTGATTATGAAAGTGTCACGTACAGTGAGGACCGACTTGTCGCGCTGGTCTAACAGAAGTTCGTCGAGACCAGCTTCTTTTACTATGGCAGAAATGTCCCAAGCGTACGCATTTTGGTCACTGCAGCCAGTGGCCAGTAGCTTCCCATCCGCCGAAAAGGACACAGAACGCACGCAAGATAGATGCTGGAGGGGTGAACTGATGAGCTGGTTGTCGTCGAGGTTCCATAATCGCGCTGTCTTGTCCCAGGATGCGCTTGCGAGAATGCGGTCTATGCGCTTTTGTAGCTTGGTGTCTTTGTTTGTATTTGTACAAACTCATCCTACTTTCTAGGTTTCGATCTACGGACTCGGTATCCTCTTTCTAATGAAACTACAACGTGATGGGACTCCGTTGGATGCGTTTGTTAGTTTGCTTGTTTGTTTGTTTTGGGCGAAAGCCCCGCAGGGGCTTTCCGGCCCGAAACATGGGTCCGTGCCTAAGGCGCCAGGTGAGCTGTGTTCCCATGTATTAGGAGAACTACGACGCACTCAGCGAAGCTTGGGGCCCTTTCCACTAGGAGAAGTGCTTCTTTTCACCGGACTGGGGGGATGGTATATCGTGTGAAAGGTTCCAGTACTGGTGATGCCTGAATGTAAGGTGCGAGAATCACAGCATGCTCTCTGAGATATAGTGTGAACGCTTCGCTAGACCACCTTCCCATCGTTTTCACGACTTCGAAAGGTACTCCGCGCAGAAGGTACTCTAACGTTCCCCCGATCCTAAGTCCGTGTCCTTTTAGTTCTGGTAGGTTCGCTGCCGCTGTTGCTGATGCTATTCTTTTCAATAGTTCTTTCTTCGATAAAGGACGCAGTCCTTTGGCGTGTTTCCACGCGAATAGGTGTGCATCACCGTTTGCTGGATTGATTCTCAAGTGATTTTCCAATGCAGCGCTAGGGTCTGACGGCCCTTCCTGCATTGCCCAATATGCGTCCTCTCCTTCGTTTGGAGAACATTTAGTGCTCGGTAGGTGGAATTTCGTAACTGGCAGACCATTGCGGTCTGCTGTTTTGGATATGCCGGATCTCGTTATATGTTTCTTCGGATCGAATTCCTTGATTGCGTTTACCGTGAATTCCCCTAACCTTGCTATTGCATAAAAGGTCGTCGTCAAGCACGCGAAAATGGCCGCATCTAGCGGTGAATTGAGGTCTAGGTGCTCGCGAATGATGGATAAGTAAGTGGGTGTGAATGGTAGCCGTTTAGGACGCTTGGACGACTCAGGTGCTGCAGCCGCAGCTCCATCTAGCACCGCTTTCAACTCATTGGGTGGGATCAACCAACTCCTTCCATGAAGTAAGTGCCAGGCTTTTAGACCTGCTGCGTAGTTACTTAATGACGATCCGGAGTAGGACCCTGCACAACTGCAGAGAAAATCTAGGAGGAGACTGCGAGCAACCGGACATCTGTGCTCTTCTGCGATTCTGTTTATGTCGCAGAACACATGGAACACCAGCAAGCCTGCCCCATATGTTTCTTTCGTCGATTGCGCCCATGACGACCCGATGACATCAAGGATTCGTTCCAACTGCACCTCCGAAATTTCGTGTCTAGGAGACTGCGAGGTTACTGCTATCTCTTGTCTCGTACTATCTCCCGCTGGTAACCACAGTCTTAGTCGGTCTCGCGCAAGACAATGGGGGCGCAGGGTAGAAGGTTTGGGTGTCAAATTAAGTCTATAGTTCTGGGGAATGGGGGAGGGGGAAGTATCTGTTACATTTGGTAGCGGTGCTCCGAATCGTGAGTTCTTATGTTTCGTCATCGTTGAGCACGCTGCTGATGAAACTTTCTTCTTCAGAACAGCTTTCTCTTGCTCGCTCAGCAGCTTGCTGTCTGAGCAGCTCGCGGTTGATAACTTTAGCTGCTGGAGCGGAGTAATGGCCATCGCGCAGGAGGCGGAGCTCTGTGGCAGACAGTGGTTCTGTAGCGTCGATGAGGAAGGTACCAAGCTCTGTTGGAAGGCTGATTGGGGGAAGAAGAAGGCTTGTTGGTCTGTATACTCCTCTGGATGGTTCATCTGCTGGGTTGGAGGCGCTTGGGACGTACGTAGTGACGACGTCATAAGGGTAGGGTAGAGTGTGAATAAACTCGTTGATTCTACGAAAGACTTCGTTGACTTCTCGGTTTCTGTGTCTCCTCTTCCACCATCCTTCAACGACGCCCGTGTTGTCTCCATGGACGACGACGTGCCTGCCAATGCCAGGCAGAGAGGTGAGAGTGTATATGAGGAGTTCGAAAGCCACTGCCTCCGCCCATCCGATGTCTCGTTGACCATTGTGTGTTTTCCACCCTGGGATTAATCTCCAGGCCCTCCAGTAGTTACCTATTACGATGCCTATTCCAATTCCTGAGCTCGCGTCCGAGAATGCGAGAGGATTTTCGAGTTTGATGGATGGGTAAATTGCTCGTTTTACACCGCCGGACTGAAGTAGCCTAGCCCACCATTCTAGATCCTTCGCTACCCTGCTTCCTGCTCGATGCGGAAGGAAGGGCTTAGCGCCGCAGTGGGAAAGCATCTCCTCGAGGCTTGTTAGGTATGCCCTGCCTCGTGGTACTGCTTGGCACGCGTGTAGTAACTTGCCATATAGCTCTTGTACGTCTTGTAGAATGTGCGCTGGTCTCTTTCTCCATTCGTCGATTGCTGCCAGATATTTGCTGACTTTTGCAGGACTCAGTGAGACTATCCTTCGTCCGATATCCCAAAGGAATCCTATATAGATTGTTGTCGACGAGAACGGTTGGTCTTTCAACAATTCCCATATAATGCCTAGGATACTTGACAACTCGTCAATATCTTGCAAGCTAAATGCAAAAAGCTCGTCGTGTTTCGATCTCGGTGAGCGAAATGAAAGGTCTTGTAGAGGCTTTGAACAGTCCTCACTCAATTCCTCCAGTTTTCCTGTTTCCTGACACGTGTCGCCGAACCACAGCCTTGCACCAGATTGTCTCATCCCTTCTTTCGCGAAGACTTGATTCCACTTCTTTCTCTTATCGTTGTATGGCTGTAAGTACTCTTTTCTGATTCTGAAAAAGATATGATCGTCTACCCATTTTTCTAATGGTCCAATGCCGTTGCTCCTAAAGATTTCGGCGCCCGCGTCTGCTATGTGTCCGTATACTCCTGCCGAAGGGGTGGCTCCGAACGCAGTGCATGTGTCGATGCAGAAGTGGGAGTCTGATACTCTTACTATTCCTGCCGGCCATTGCGAGGGGCGCAGTGGGATCGTCCAGTACGCTTCTGCCACGTCTCTTGTGGCTGCCTCTGAACCTGGTGGAAGACTTGCAATTATTAGATATATGTTCGAAAATTTGCCCTATGTCGTCGGAAAGTCACTGGCATTAATGTAGGAGTTTATCGAGGGATTAGGATGTGAAACGTTTGGGGATGCCGGAAAGGAAAAGTTTTGTACTATCCTGAATTTGCCTGGCTTGCCCGGCTTAGGGATTATGGACAGCGGTGACGATTGAAACGGTCCTATGAGACTTTCCAATGATTCAGCTCGAAAGGGTCCAATGTACCTTCCTTTGTCCAATTCTTTTCAGATGATACTTTCAAACTCGTTCTGGTACTCGGTAATCGAACTTTTATTTGGTGGAACCTGCATAACGCTGACAGGAGGAAAATCTATCTCAAAACCTAACCGGAGACCGTTTAGTATCTTGGCGAAACGCCCAAGAAGTCCTGCTCTTCGAAGCTCCTGTTCCCATGCGTCAGCCTTGTATGGCGTCAGCGGTATCTGCCTTCTGCGCTCTAGGGCATCTTTGGGCGCCGTGCGTAGCAGCTCCGCAGCCTGAACAGGCGTGGTGCGCATCGTGTTTTGGCGTTGTGCATCCTTCCTCCCTCTGCCAAGCGGTACAGAGTTGCTTCCCGTCTTTAGCCCAAAGGCCTTTGCGGATGCGCTCTGCGCAGGTTTCGAATTTCTTGTCCCATGTCTGCTTGGCTGTACACTCGAGGGTGCGGTGCGGGTGTCTTCCCAGACAGACTGCGCAGCAAGGTAATGGGCCTGCATTGACAGTGGGACGGACTGTTCGTACCTTCTTGTTGCTGGACAGATAGTCCTCTGCGGGAGTATATGGGCGCTTCTGCGAAGCTGCGAGGTACTGTGGTTGAGCTGTTACGAAAGCTGCTGCCGCTTGCTGTAGTGACACGTAGGGGGACAGTGTAGTTCCCAGTGTTTTGATTTGATTGAATTGGGCACGTGATGGCCGTGAGGGAACAAGGCATATGATAGCCAGGTTGTAAAGGAGGCACGCGATGGCCGGGGTGAAAGCACATGATGGCCGGGGGTAAAGGCACGCGATGGCCAGGGGGGTAAAGGCACGCGATGGCCAGGGGGTAAAGGCACATGATGGCCAAGGTGTACGAGAAACGGCGCGCGATGGCCAGGGAGAGTACAGTTTCATACAAGCCCATTTTTGTCGGCGCGTGATTGGCCGACAGGAAAAACACATTGCACGACAACAACGAGTTGTAATTGTTAATATACGAGAAAGTTTTAAGAGACTTTTCATTAGGAATGGCTGCGGATTCACGATGACATTTACTGACCTGAATAGCGATAGCCGTCTCCTTTTCTCTCTTCTCGTTGAACAGCTCTTCTCTCGCTTCGAAAATTAAATCTTGATTGAGGTCTTCAAGGCTCCATCCTTGCGCCGTTCCTATAGTCTGATGCCAGCGTCGTCGTTGCTGGGATTGATATAGTAGTAGCGCTCGTTGTTTGAGTTGATCTGGTGAATGGCGCCAACGATGTGTCTGTAGAGCAGACCAAAATTGTATATGCATGTCCGTCCGATCATCAGGCCAGTCATACAATTTCATCATTGTGATCATGCGAGGGGCGGCTTCGTTGAATTCTTCCCAAGACAGATTCTCGTCTTTCACAACCGGAGCCGCTTTTGGGTCCTTAACTGCCGCTGCTGGGATCCAAGAGTGTAGACCGTCTGCTGCTGGTAACATTACCATAGCTTCCGGTTCCGCTATTAAGTTGGACAGTTTCGCGTCTTCGAGACCACGGTTGGTGAAATAATGGAGCTCGCAGTAGTCTCCGGATTTCATCTTCCTTATAGCGTATTGCGCTGGGAGAACAGTGGGGTCGGAAGGTACTTTTCCGCGCACTATGGGCGCGTACTTAGTTTTATTCTTCTTCCGTTCCTCTAGACATGCAGCCTCTTCTTCCTCCTTGCGTTGTTGCTGACGTTCTTCCTCTTCGTCCTCTTCTCTTTGCCTGGCCTCTATCATGCGTCGTTGTCTGAGTGCCCAACGGTCTTTCTCGGCATTGTTAGCTAAGGTCCATAATGCTGCTAAGGTCCGAGCTGCATTTTCATTCGAGAGGCCTTCTTCTACTAATTGTCGCCGCGAAGCTTCGTGTTCTTGTGATGTGAAGTCTGGCCTTACTGCCAAGTTAGGATCTTCCATTTAGTAGTACGGTACTTCGTGGGTCTTGTATGCAAAAGATGAAGCTAGAGTAGCGAGCTTCTGACGAAAAGTGTCTCAGCTGCGAGGTGGGCAGAACCAAGAGGTGCTGCGCCACCTCGCTTATTTCGCGCTTAGACTTAATTCTAGGCCTGCCTCGTGCCTCGGCCGGCCTAGCCCGCCACCATTGTGAGATATTGCAATGGATCTGACACACCATGCGTGCGCTTCCCACAGTGCGATTTGCTTCCAAGTTGAAGTATTCCATGTCCTAATCGAGGAATCGTTTGACCCGGATATAAGCGCTTTTCCATCCGGGGTCCAAACCAGGCACGACACCCAATCTGTGTGTCCTTCAAGAGTAGCAACAAGTTCGCCTGTCTTGGCATTCCAGATTCTGATCGCGGATTTATTGTCTTCAGTGTTCGGAGGGCGTTCGCCTCCACCAGTCGCAAACAAGGTCATGTCTGAGGAGTAGACAACTGCCAACAAAGTGTGCCCTGCCTTGATTGGTGTGAGGATCGTCTGTCCGTTTTCTACATCCCATTGCCTTGCAGTCCCATCGTCAGATCCACTCAAGACTCGCTGACCATCTTGACTCCAACAGACAGAATTGACTCTCTCTGTATGCCCCATCCATCTCCCAGTTGCTTTGCCCGTGTCCATGTCCCACAACCTCACTCCACCATCATCACTCCCGCTGACCACCTTCTTCCCGTTCAGAGACAACGCTATGGTCCACACTTCAATTTCTCCGTCCCGCCAGTCGTCTCCTATCTGTTTGCCACTCTTCAAGTTCCATACCCGCAGCGAGCCGTCCACTGAACAAGTCATTATCCGTTCTCCGCCTGGCAGATGTATAGCTTCCTTGACCGAATCGGCGTGTCCCTCAAATTTCTGGCAGGGTGTGATCGCCGGTCCCTCCTTCCTTCTGACGATGGGTGAAGACATCTTGGCGCAGCTCCGTCTCAGCTTTCATCCAACAAATACCAATTCTTTACTTACAAAGATACGTTCCTCAGCTGCTCAGGCCGTATCGGCAGCAAGACACAAATGGCGTCTAGGTCGAGAGTGCACTGCAAGTTTGAGCGGTACGGTCAACTAAATGTGTCATCCTCGTGTTCGCTTCACAGCTTCTAGCATAGGCTGTGCAACTGAAGCGCCCAGGTATCATTTGATCACAAGTCACATGCACATTCTATCGGTCACAATCAGTCTACAACGGAGTCCCCGCTCACCTTACAAACCTGATGCCAAGGTTGATGACTCGAAGGTGGCGTCATGTTCTCTCCTCACTGACCTCCTACAGCTAGGGCAAGAATTTGAGATGCATCCACAAATTGTGAAGACAAACGCTCAAGGCTCCCGCCACTGCCGGAAATCCATCTTTAGTACGGTCGTCTCTCTGTACGCCGAGAACAACTACTCACAGTTCGGGTGTTCGGACCAAGGTTGATCTTACGCTGTGCAGACCGGATCGTTTCGTTGGTCGAGTGTTGGGTACCATCAACGAGCGCCCGAAGGTCTATATCGACGGTAGGTATTCTCGTTTTTCGCATGCTGGCGTGTTCTAAAAAGTATGCAGAGCTTCAAATAAGTCACCTCTTCCTGCGCCGCTTGTGGGCGTTCATACAGAGGATAAGTAATGAACAAAGTGTCGAAACTTGCCAAGGACAAGCTCCCGCTCATGAACATTGGTCCAACATCAAGTTTCCAAGTTGAGCATGACACACGATCTGGCGAAGATTCTATTGGCTATCTACTGAAATTGGGAAGAAGGTCGCGCATCCGAGCCGTATCGAGAAGCCATGGCGGCTTGTAGGCAAATGTGCAACATGGAACAGTGTTGAAGTTAGACCGATTCGCTACACTTCATGTGACCAGAGCCAATCTACCCCTGCATCATTTCTGCAGCACGAAAATGCAGGTGTTTCACTACAGATGACTGTTGGGAATCCTCGCGACAGTCGGTCTGCGATTCCTCAAGTATGGCTTGATTCGTCTTTGACGCAGTCTGCATGCATATCGACCTTTCAATTCTTGGTGTCGATGTAAACTCAGCTGACCAGACGACTTCTGACTGTTCTAAGCTGCAAGTTCGCACGTGCGCTGCCTTGAACAAATATCATTTCTGCCCACAGGCTTGCTGTTGCCACCGGCCTCAAGGGACGCCCTTGTACTGTCATTGAAACTCTACGGTGTGAAGATAGTCAGCAATGAGTACACTCCGGGCTATTTTCTTTGTCTTTGAACATGCTAGACCTGACGCCGTCATTTCACTGCATCGATCAAGCACCTCGACTCCCGATGTTTTAACTATCTCGCAATATAATTCAAAGGCAAAAGACTCATGAAGATCGTGTTTAAATCTGAAAGTGAATGTCATTTGCATGGTGCAATGAAACATGTCAGTTAACGATATATAGCGTGCAGGTATATGTGAGAAATGACAAAGGATATCTTTTAGAGACGAAAAAATAAACGGGGTAGATTAATGATGACCGTCGGTATACTCAGAAGAGGCACAACATATAAAGAGCCAAAACCGAGTCCAGCGTCCAGCGTGTTTGATTATGACATGAGGGTTGGCGTTTGGTGTCGTGTCAGTGACAGCAGGAGGTGTGGTGGATGATGTGGAGACAGCAGCATGTGCTTGCGAAGATTGGACTTGAGTCGCACCATTAGGGTGTTGTGCGGCGTCGTTATTGGGAGGGCGTGAGGTGCTTGCGGCAAGGTCCCCAGGTTTCAATGGAATAATTTTCATCGGTCTTTCTCTTGCTGATGCGTTCCTCTATAGCGTGATGTGAGATGGTGTGAATACTCGACAAGGACGAAAATGACATACACGTTTGCCCTTGGCATACGGAACATCGACGACTGCTGTGTGACGCACGCGGAGCTCGATATCTTCACCACTTTGTCTTTCAGAGAGTTGATTTCGAACCGAGTGGAGAGGACGGGGTCGGGATGATGTATCATGGGCATCGGAATGCACGGGGCTGAATAAAGACGAAAACCAGCTACCAAGGGTGCTTACATGCGGTCCCCACGATCGAGGGTGGAGGCGATGTCGTGCTGAAACCTAAGAACATCGAGGTCAGGAAAAACAGTGCTGAATGTGTCATCAACAACGTACATGAGCGCGATCTGGTAAGTCGTCAAAAAACCCTCGAGGTATCCGGCGCTGAGGGACGATGATTGGCTGACGGATTGGACGTCGTGTAGCATCAGCCTACACATATGTTTGAATGATTAGTGAAATCTGATTATAATAAAAAGTGTCACGTACAGCAAGGACCGACGGCTTGTTGCGCTTGTCCAACAGAAGTTCGTTGAGACCAGCTTCTTTCACAATCGCAGAAACGTCCCAAGTGTATGCATTTTTGTTCTCACAGCCAGTGGCTAGTAGTTTCCCATCTATCGAAAACAACACAAAAAACATGTAAGATGGATGCTGGAGGGGCGAACTGATGGGCTGGTTGTCGTGGAGGTTCCATAATTGCGCTGTGTGGTCGTACGATGCGCTTGCAAGAATGCGGCCATTGGGAGATATTGCAATGGAAAAGACACCGGAAGTGTGCCCTTCCAACAGTGCGATCTGTTTCCAGGTTGTAGTATTCCATGTCCTGATTGAAAAATCGTCTGACCCAGATATAAGCGCTTTTCCATCCGGGGTCCAAACCAGGCACCGCACCCAATTTGTGTGTCCTTCAAGAGTAGCGACAAGTTCACCTGTCTTGGCATTCCAGATTCTGATCGCGGACTTGTGATCTCCAGTGTCATCCCAAGGGCGTTCAGATCCAGCAGTCGCAAACAAGGTCATGTCTGGAGAGTAGACGACTGCCCACAAATAGTGCCCTGCCTTGATTGGTGTGAGGATCGTCTGTCCGTTTTCTACATCCCATTGCCTTGCAGTTCCATCGTGAGATCCACTCAAGACTCGCTGACCATCTCGACTCCAATAGACAGAACTCACTCTGTCTCTATGCCCCATCCATCTCCCAATCACTTTGCCCGTGTCGATGTCCCACAACCTCACTCCACCATCTTCACTCCCACAGACCACTTTCTTCCCGTCCGGAGACAAAGCTATGGTCAACACTTCACTCTCTCCGTCCCGCCAGTCGTCCCCTATTTGTTTGCCACTCTTCAAGTTCCATACCCGCAGCGAGCCGTCCCATGAACAAGTCATTATTCGTTGTCCGCCTGGCAGATGTATGGCGCCATAGACGCAATCGGTGTGTCCCTCGAATTTCTGGCAGGGTGTGCTCGCTGATGCCTCCTTCCTTTTGACTCTGCCTAAAGACATCTTGGCGCAGCTCCGTCTTAGCTTTCATCCGACAACTTGAAAGTCCAAAATCTTCACTTACAATGGTATATTTCTGAGGTGCTCCCCCCGTATTGGCAGCAAGACACAAAGGATGTTCAGGTCAAGAGTGCACTGCAAGTTTGAGCGGTACGGTGCAAATGTGTCATCGTCGTGTTCACTTCTAGCATAGGCTGTGCAACTGAAACGTCTAAGCATCATCCCTGATCACAAGTCACATTCCATCAGTCACAATCAGTCTACAACGGAGTCCCCGCATACCTTTCATGCGCTCTGCTACAACCTTGCCCAACGCACTTTCATTCCGATATCCTCGTTCAAAACATCTTAAACTGCCTCTCCCTATCCAACTACTCCCTGAAGGTGCCCGGCGCTCGATGCCCATCTGCTCAAGGTACAACACACCCTCACAAATATGCACACAAATTTACCAAGCATGGATATATCACTATAGCTTTATCGTCGGATCACCAATTCAGAGCAGCAAAGTAGCCGAGGAGTTGTTCGCCCTCAGCAGATATTGCTCGTTGGACTTGGCGGCGCTCTCTCTACATTTCCTTGAAGGGACTAATGATGGTAATAAGATCACATCCGATGTTTTTTGATTACAGTCCAAAACCATCAATTAATGGAGACAACCACGCCCTCAGTCGAAGGATGCGGTTGCTGAAGGTGGTATTTTGGATTCCAGCTTGTCTGCGCCCACACCTGGCTGTGTAGATGTTGCCGATATGTTCATCAAAGTGATTGGATTTCCGTCGGACCCAGGCACGTTGAACTGTGTGAGTGGTGTTACTCAGAAAGGCGCTTTGTGTCTGACTTTGTTGGCGCTTCAGTTAACATCAGTCCTTGCATTATTATGCCAATCACAAACTCCCTAGAGTGACGTGTGCATTATCGCACACTGTCCAAGAAGAACATATTTCTAATATCACTCGGCTTTGACTAGTTGAGCTTTAAGACTAACATGCTTTGGATCGTACATCAACGGCTGAATATCAAATGGTCTACCCGATGAAATCGCCGTCGTATCCACGTATACGATCTCTCACCAGCGTGGAAGCCTTCACACAGGCTATGTAGTATAAGTATCTTGAGCTGTCGTTAGGGAGGGCTGGAGCATCACTTTGAACACTTTCCGCGACTGTCATGGGCAATCACCTTTCTCTACTGGGTCAATCATTCCCGTCCGAGTCGAAATTTCACGTCGATGACATCCCCGACCTGACCGGGAAGGTCATGATCGTTACTGGAGCTAATACTGGGATCGGTAAAGAGACAGCAAAGGTAAGTTGCAAGGGATGGATACTTCATGTTGCTGACCATAGAATTCAAGGCCCTGTTGAACCACAATGCCAAGGTATACATAGCTGCCAGAAGCCAAGAGAAGGCAGAAGTAGCCATCAAGGATCTTAAAAACAGCACTGGGAAAGAGGCTCTCTTTCTAAAGCTTGACCTCGCAAATTTGAAGTCTGTGAAAGCTTCTGCGGAAGAATACCTCAGGTTCGTCTCTTCTGTCGCAACGCCTACAGGGGCTTCGTTGACGCTATCACCAGCAAAGAGACTACGTTGGATGTCCTATTCAATAGCGCGTGAGTGCGCAGCATGCACTAAATGGCGTGGTTTGGATATGCTCATCTTAGTGCATAAGGGGGGTCATGTTCCCTCCAAAAGAATGGTTAACCGTGGACGGATATGATATGCAATTCGGAACAAATGTCCTTGGTATGACGATTACATTTCTGCTACTACAAGACTCTAATTTGTCTGCAGGGCACTTCTACTTCACTAAGCTGCTATTGCCCACCCTCATTGCTACCGCAAAATCTGCGCCTGATGGCAAAGCTCGTGTTATCACGACTTCGTCCTCGGCACATATCCTGAAGGGTCTCAACTTCTTGGCGTTCGAAGATGGTCCTGCTCGTGGGAAGATGTCTACTACTGACCTTTATGGGCAAAGCAAAACCGCAAGTCGACTCTGTGATTTTGCGTCATCTTCTCCTGACTCGCCAACAGGGCAACGTCGTACAAGCATTCGAACTCGCAAGGCGCTACAGTTCAGAGGGCATCGTTTCCATACCTCTGAACCCAGGTAACATCAAAACAGACCTGGCACGCCACATGCCGTCCTTTCTACGTGGTATTTTGGTTCGCAAATCTACATGCAGCTGCTAGGTGAATGCTGACGGAGATGTAGAACTTGTTCCTCTACGACGTTGAACATGGAGCACTGACCCAGCTCTATGCTGGAACTGCCCCAGAGGCTGTAGAGTTGAACGGCAAGGTGATATCTCTATCGAATGATGGCCACAAGGGGACGCTGACACCTCTCGCTCTCTTGTATAGTATCTCGTTCCTTGGGCCAGGGTTGGTCCAACTCGCAAGGATGCTCGGGACCCTAAGGTAGGCGAGGCTCTATGGGAATGGCTTGAAGAGCAGGTCAAGGATATTTGATCTTTTTTCGCTGATGCTAAGAAGTATCATACATACGAGTGTTTTTTTTGCGGATCTTGATGGATTGCAGGTGCGAATAGTAGATACCCATAGTTGTGTTTCCCGTAGTCAGACCTTGAAGAAGGAAGATAGCCATTCATTCATTTTCAATAAGGTAGTTGCTTTTGTGGAATAATCATGTTTTAAACTTGGAGGGATTGGCCATGGGCGAAGGTAGCCAGAGCAACGCCGAAACAGTGCGCATTCATTATGACTATAGGTGAACTACATGTAGTAGGAATACTACCCCATGTCAAAGATCTGTGAGAGATGTATTTTGCCTCACGATGGTATTTTTCCTTAGCCTTCGTGAGAGCTAGATCTGAGGTATATTCAAAAGCTGTCAGAGGCGTTGAGGAGGAGCGTCCGTGACTTACATGACGATGGCCTGAGGATGACCGGCCGACCTATGACTTCGTGCACTTGGCACGTACATGCATCCCTTGAACCACAACATCCTCAATCATCATCAACGTCAAGGTCGCCTTCGACGCCTGCTCCCTCTCCCGTATCATCAAACTCCATTGCGTTTGCATCATATCCCCAAGTCTCTTGATCCGCTTCTTCATAGACCTCCACTGCATCTTCATCGCGCGTTTGTTTGACTTCAGGTACAACCACAGTCCCATTCGGATGTTCAGGAGCCCTTTCGTTCAACGACTTGGATACTGCAGCAAGAAGGTCTTCCATCTGGTTCCCCAACCGATCTTCGAGTTCTTCGACGATCTGAATGGCGGCGTTTAGTCCATTTTGGCGTGATGAATACGCAGACTCGCACATACAACATATAGCTCTACCGGCTCAGTCGGAGCCAAGTTGACTATCTGAAGCTTTTCTGCTTTCGACAATCCAAACGACTGAAGACCGCCCACGAGCTGCGTGATGCTCGCGTCTGATTGATGGAGGCTCGGCTGGTAGTCCGCAGATAGATATTGAATAGCTTCCAGCTCGACTGTGCGAAGGTTCTCGCTTATCTCTTCAGTATGAGTGTCATGCGAGTTCTTTCCCGCAGCCTCTTCTTCTTTTTTGACACGGATGGCAGTTTTTGTGCGGGCGATGTGCTCCGCATCTAGTTCGCGAAGGAGGTTTAGGACTTCAACGTTTGATAAGAGTGCTGACCGAGCATTTACAACCTCCATAGACACGCTAGCAGGTTGCGAACCAGGAACAGAAAAAATGTAATGAAATTTCGCGAACGTAAGGCCCGACTCGGATTAGCCGGACGTCTCCGACTCTACAAAGTACATTGCAATCGGAATATGTCGCTAAACAGCTTGCATGTGTTTCTAGATCGGCAATGGCGCCAGAGTCAACCCGCCGCATATTCTGTACATAACTCAACATCACTCGAATTCTTCAAGTCCATATTGCCTTCGAAATCGTCAAAGGCAGACGCTGCAAACAATCCGCATAATATTCTGAGTAGTGGAACCAGGCATGATCCATTGCGTTGTAACACAGCCGTACAATAAGCAACACAGGGCATGTGAGGAAGTGGGAGAGGGAGATACCAGCTAAAGATAGTGCTAACACCAGCGCCCGCTCACCAGCACCCATGCAAAGACAGGAATTATCGACCGTGATAGTAACACGGCATTCGATTGAACTGCAACGTACACAAGAGGCGGGATGCGAACACAACACGAACTGGAGGGGGTAGCAGAAAGAGGTCGCGGTTGCGTCGACATGTGGGTGCAATTGGAGACCGTAAGTCCCATAGGATCCCAATAAATTGGATGTTGTTCGACAGTATGGCCAACATCATGAAAAGGGCATTGCGCCTCGTTGAGCACGAGGAACACAGCAGATACGCGCTTATGCAGAAATAGAGCCATGTCGAACTGCGAATGGCAAGGGTCAGCAAAGATCGAATCCAAGACGCACAACCGCAGGCCAATCTAGAAACTAGGCACTGTGAATGGCAGAAAAGCAAAAGAGGGAGGACACAAGATCAATGTTCGGCCAAAAATAGCCCGTGTCGGCAGTTTTCCCTAGAAAGGACTTGTTCCAACGTTCGCTTTGACAGAAACAGCGGGACATTCTCCCTACTGCCACCACTAATCGTGGGAGTTGTTGTTCTCGCCCCTTGTGGTGCCTATGTTTGTATCCGTCTCTGTTCTCTGAAGTCCAAAATACTGGGCAGAACACAAAGGGCAATCGCCCTGGGACAGCCAAAGAAGGGAGAGTGCGACCAAGTTGCGGTTGATCCGGTAGAGTCGGGGTTACAATTATGTAGTTCGTCCTGTATAAGAACAACGTTCCCCAACGTTGCTCGGCCGCATCATCAAATCCGCAGTTTGGCCAACTGTTTCAGATTCTCGAGGCCCAGAAATTGAAGTTTATTCAACCACTGATGGGCCCATCATGACCAGGCTGCCGAACAGCCGACCGTCTGTCCTGCTTCTCAGATCCGAAAGATGATTGCCGTAGCAGGCACCGCGTAAGCTAATTGTAAGCTGTAGTATTTTTGAACCCCATAATCCAGCAAACTTAAAGAACCACACAGTGGTTCTCTCTGGAGCCTGTGGCGCTGGTATGACGGAGGTCGTGGCGCAGTTGCGGACCCGATATATATATTATGAACTAGTGGTACTCCTGCACGTCACAAAATTTACCGTCTTTCCCTCATGGTATCTACTCATTCCATAATGGCAACGGCGCTGGCCTGCTTGGCGTTCTCCGTTGCGCCGGTGACTGCAACAACGTACTCTATGGTCAAAGAGTACTATGGTTCTACTTTCTTTGACGAGTGGACTTTCTATAATAATTGTTTGTGCTTCACTTCGAATTTGCCATATCTCGAGCTCACTTTTTGCAGATGATAATTTGACAAACGGAGATGTTGTGTGAGTCCACTTTAAAGTGTCCTTTTTTGCATTTGCGATCTAACATTTTCATCGCAGTTATGTTTCGGCTCAGAACGCAACTACAGATCAGTTGGCATATGTAGATACTTCAACGAACCATGCCATTATCAAAGTAGACAACACTTCCACTGTACGTTGTTCTGCAAGATATATCACCTCCACTAACAGCTCTCATCAGGTGGTTTGGGACAACAAACGCAACTCCGTCAGGATTTCAAGCGATGACACCTTCGGAGTGGGAAGTTTGTGGGTAGCCGATATATATCACGCGCCTTATGGTGTGCGTGAACTCATTTTGTGCCATGATGCTGGCGTGCTAAAGCTCGTCTCTGATTTAGTGCTCCGTGTGGCCCGCGTGGTGGAGGTGGGTCACTCGAGAGAGAGCATTGCACTCTAGTACCATGAAAGCTGACGAATCATAATAGTCAAGCAGCTGTCTGGCCACAGGGTGGCGAGATCGATACTTTTGAGGGCATCAATACCAATACCCAAAACCAAATGTCCTTGCACACTGAAACTGTTCGTGAACTGGTGCTGATCTAAATCGCTTATGCTCCAACACTCGCTTGTCATTTCTACAGGGGTGCACGGCGATTTCCCAAAATCAAACTTCAACTCTGGTTGCCAGCACAAATTGTTCGTATGCCGCGAACGAGGATCAAGGTTGTATTGTTACAGACCCATCGACTGGGTCCTACGGTGCTGGTTTTGCGAGCAGTGGAGGAGGAGCTTTTGTGACCGAGATGGCTTCTACTGGTATAAAGTACATGGATCGCCTTTTGATCTCTGTTAGACCGCATCACTTAACTTTTTGTGTCATTTAGCATTTGGTTCTTCGCAGTGAGTTACGGCATGGATGATAGGCATTGCCAAGTACTGAACCAAATTTCCAGAGGTCCGCAATACCTAGCTCGCTGTCGAGTAACGAAAGCTCGATTGATACCTCGGCCTTTGGTATTCCTGTTGGCAATTGGCCTTCTACGGGTTGCAACATCACGGAATTCTTCGAGCCCCAGAACTTGATTTTCGATATCACCCTCTGCGGAGGTACGTCAGTCATGTATCAGTTTGATGATTGAGCTAACATTCGGCTCGTCTTAATCGATAGACTGGGGTAAGCAGATTTTGCGAGCAACGGGCGTTGCAGGATGCTAAGACAGTTTCACAGCCGATGGTGCTACATGGAACAGCACATGCTCAGGGATCTGCTACAACAACTGGGTCATGGGCAATGGTACCGACTACGATAATGCCTACTTCGAAGTCGGCTATGTGAGGGTTTTCAGCACGGAAGGCACCAACACAGTCGTATCTCCCACCACCACTGGTTCTGGTTCGTCCTCGACAACGTCAACACAAAGTAGCTCGTCTGCGGGCCTCCCGTATGGTGGCTATTGGATGAGTGCGACGTTGCTCGTGGTCGTTGGACTTTTCAGCGCTCTCTTTACACTTGCTTGAAGGGACTAATGATTTATCAGCGACATTGCTCAGTGATAAGAATGTACTTTTTGTATGTATAGGCTCTATTCACTTCACAACCGGAGAATCATCATGGTCGGGAAGAGGCATACCCAGGACTTATGTTTACATAGTATTTGACATTGTTGAACAATAGTAGATCCGGACTCTGGAAAAACCTACGGCTGCCGTGACTGATAGCTATCAACCCCAGACGAGTAGCTCCGACTGGCGTTCCTTAAGATTGCTTGGGCCATAGGCACTGCAGTGCTTTATTTATGTAGACTCATATGGAGAACTCTACCTTATCATCAGTTGCAGCGTAATCGACTCCAAAAAAAAACTGGATGAGCCGCATCTATTCACACCAGGTCAGGAGGTGCCTGGAACACCAGAGAGTGTGGTAAAGAGCGTGTGACGCATACGACATACAACAGCATTATAGCGGTGAATGTGAAGGTGGGGTCTGACCAGGATATGCCTGGAGTACAAGGGAACGTGGCCAAGAACGTGCGACACATACAACATACAACAGCATTATAGTGGTAAGATGTGGAATTGGGGCCTGATCATGATATGCCCGGAACACGAGGGAATGTAGCCAAGAGCGTGCGACATTGAGGGCTGCATACAGCATGCAACAGCATTATAACGATAGTGTGGTGGTGGTAGGTGTACAAGAAACAGCACCAGTCAACAGGTGCAGGTACCGTTGCAACTGTTCAGTGAAATGGCACGAGCACCAGAATAGTGAGAGCATGTGTATGCCATGTGCGAAGAGTCCGGGTTATCGAGCAGAAGAATTATGCAGTCTGGGAATTACCAAACTTATGGAATGGAACTCCGCAGCGAATACGTTGGCCTGCAGTCACATCATGACGAATAGTGCGAGAAAAATGAACTAGAAGGATACCACACTGGCGCGGACGCGCTTGACGAATCGTCCTTTCTCTTGAACAGTGACGATGTTCCATTATGTGGCAAACTCACATTGGTGATCAATTGCGTCATGCGCCTGGCAATCGATCCAAGAAATGTTACACGTGTAGCATGATAAGCAAAACCCAAAAGATAAGGGGCACAAAATCTATGGGTCATGATGGAGGATAATCGAGCTGAAGCAGCCAGGTCTGACACGGAAGACGGTCCATGAGAGGGGATGCCAGTAACGGTATTGAGACACAAATGTGGGCGGAGACAGTTTGCCATGACGTGAGAGGTATTACATGTATTGGTAGGGACGACGTCCTTATAGGCATCAGGTTGCGATCACTGCCAGGACCCAGTCATATGGAAAGGAGCGGAGTGCCAGGAAACCGGTCGACTTACCAGACTGGCCTGCGCAGCATTTTAAAGAAGAGCTTTAGGTTGGTGAGACTGCGTCCGAGTCAGACTGGCACAGCGTTGCGATAGATAACGGTATCATCCACGACCATATTGAATTGATCCGATGAGTTCTTGCGCTTGATCTGATGAAGAGAAGGGATGTGGAAGAGATCGTTCGATTGGAATAGCAACTCGGAGCCCTTGGACTGGCATGGAAGTCTCAGGCTTGCGCGCTTTGCACGGCTGGAGTAAAATTAATGTAATGTAATTCGAGAAAAAGTTGTACCCACCACGAAACATAATTGCCATGTTTGACGATCCGCCACGCTCCTAGCTGTACATGAACTTAAGATATCATAGATATAGGTGATCCGTAAAATCTGTTGTATGGGAGTTACAGGTAAGGGCATCGGGACTCCTTGGCAAAAGTTTGAAATATTTAGCACTAAAGTTACTATTAACATTTATTTGCACAGATCATCATCAGCTTCTTACGCTTGTGTGCTATCACCTCGGCCCTAGAGTTGCAGGGTGATAGTAATCCGCCACGGCGCCGTTTTGCAAGTCGACATTTGCCATAAAGCAGTTTCAAATTGGGACCCCAAACTCCACTATAACTATTTAATAAATATCGGCACACAATGCACACATCTCAAATTCCTGCCCGATACCATCATGGCCAGTATAGGCGCATCCATTCATACAAACCCTACTGTCTTGTTTGGCGTAGAGGGACAAGTTGCTGTGGTCACAGGGGGTGGCACCGGTACAGTCTTTTCCTGTCCCTGTAGCAAATCTTGCTCATCAGATAATGTCTTCTAGGTATCGGACTCATGATGGCTACTGCATTAGAGAACAACGGTGCCACCGTGTATATCATCGGTCGGAGGCTTGAAGTCCTAGAAAAGGCTGCCAAGGAGAACAACGTATGGAATATTGCATGCACTGTAACGATCGTTTCTGACACCAAAGTCCCAGAAATTCGGAAATCTCATCCCGCTACAGGGTGACATCACTTGTCGTCAGTCTCTCACACAGCTCGTCGAGACCGTTAGAACACGCCATGGCTATATCGACCTCCTTGTCAACAATGCCGGCATCTCCCGCAATCTTTTGCCCCCGAAATTACCATCCCCTCTGGATGACCCTGCAGATGCCTCCCCATCCATCAAGGCGTTCCAAAGTGTCCTATGGGATACTGGATCGCCAGAAGGTTTTGCCGAGACATTTGATACGAACGTCACTGCCGTTTATTTCACTACTGTTGCATTCCTCGAATTGCTTCATCTTGGCAATCTAAGAAAGGGTAATTTACCACCTGTCATATCGCTGCGTCCACCAGGTTCCAACAAGGAACCCTGTGATGATGATGTTTCGAACGATCGAGGCTTCACATCCACCAGCCCCTCAGTAGTCCATCATTCCTCGCCTCCAACACCCCCCTCACCTTTTACGTCTCTTCCTGCAGAATCGTCTGCCACTACTTCCACTCAGGCCGCTTATCTTCCGGAAAAATGCATTCCACAGCCGACATCTCAAGTTATCACCATATCCTCATCTGGCTCCTTTCGTATTGATGCGCGAGTCTTATCTATCTCTTACACGATGTCAAAGAATTCTTGCACGCACCTTGGAAGGCTTCTGGCTAATCTTTTAGCTGATTGGGGTATCCGTTCCAATGTACTATGCCCAGGCGTCTTCCCAAGCGGTGAGCGGCTACTTCTCTAGACATTAATTGGCTTATCGATATACCCCTGAGACAGAAATGACATCAACTCAACACCTCACACCTGCCCTTTTGGCTCAAGCTGTCCCTCTTGGGCGCGCAGGCACCCTGTCTGATATCTCCGGTCCTATTCTTTTCCTGGCTGGCCCTGCAGGAGCGTACGTTAACGGCGCAGTGTGGCTGGTTGATGGGGGACGAGTTGGCTCTGTCGCCAGCTCCTATTACTGATTCAACTGGGTGCCTCGGCCCACATATGGCTTACATGTTTGTTTGTACCCCGCACTTTTTCATGAGCGGTTCAACAAGTGTCATGTCCAGCTACCGAAACAAACACCCTCATCCGCGGCTTTCATTTTTTTTTCCATCTGCGCTGACCCGGAAGGGGGCTGTTGATATTATTATCTTATCATCAATTTCATGCTGTTTTGGTTTGATTCATGATCACGTCGTCGAATGCTCTGAAAACGGTGACACGTGTAGTCAACGTTGCTGATCGACTATGCAATTTTCGTTCCGCGCCCCAATGAATTTTGCACGGTGGTGATAGCTAGGTCACGTTAATTCCTGTCCCATCCTGACAACTTTATCTGAAAGATTCAGAATCGGCAAACCATCATGTACCCAATCCGGACTCTAAATTTAGACCGACTAATCACGTACCCTCTATTACTGAAGATTTCACCATTCACACCCACCAACTAGTATAACCTCGGCAGTGGATCATGGATCCGATGGGTGCGTGGATTCTCATATTGATGCCGGGCTCCGTAATGATATGTATAATTTGGTCAGCCTATCCCGGTCAAGATACTATTGAGGTCGATAAGCGTCGTCATCGTCTCCGTCGACTATTTCATGTGAAGTCACATGAGAAACCAAATAACGTTAGTAGGCTCCGATACTATGTACAGATGAGTCCACTTGTTAAACTTATATGCGCCAAGACCCTTTCTGAACTCAGCAGGCCGTACAAAGAACGATGTGACATCGTGCGGACCCATCAACATGTAGGCACAGGATTACGTTCGAAAAAGCTCCACCGTCAGAATCACAAGTATGGACTGTATCCCAACGTGCGTATTTACATCCGCGGTCGCATTTTATCAATTCAACCTTTCTGGAATACACTACACGCAGCCAATACGTATGTCAAGTTACACAGTCTTCAAGCTTAAAATTCTCAGAACTTACCATGGGGTTGGTTTGTCGGGCCTGCTGGTACGCATAAACTGCTCGCTTCACTCTGCGCGATTCCATGATGCACCCTTTTCTTCGCCATCCCAACCTTCAGGATCAAGGGACATTCCGATGTGTCATGCATAAAAAAAGCTCGTTCTCAGTCAGCAGCTGGCTCTCATCTTCGATGGTCAGTAAGCTACACCGCTGCGGCACCTCCCTTACCCCGGACTTGCTTTGGTTCGCGTCTTATACCATCAGTCCGTTCCGTTCTCGTGTATCGGCATTGACGTTGAATGCCGGTATACAGGCTGCCAATGTGGGGAAATTTCAGATGCAGACAACTCAAGGACACCAATCGCTGCATTGTGAAACGCCATTGGTCGCTGTGCATCACAATAGGAATGGTCTACTTGTGGAGCCAAAATTGCTACGTAGTACCATGCACAGGTTTGCACGATCTCCATAAGGCCTCCCCACGTATATTCGGGGGTTCTTCTCCACATCCACTTGCGGTGGTTTTCATGGGACGGCCCTATGACACTCCCTCAGGTCAGCCCCGATCCAAGACTTAAGTAGCTACGATGCCAACGTTTAGTCCAATTGCGCTCTATCGTCGGATCGTGTGGTAACTTAGTACCCAGCAGTTATCAAATTAAACTTACGTAGACCCACTGATATGATGCGTCACTTATCAATGAAATTCCTACTGGAATCTGCGTTCCTAGTAAATTAAGCGGCGATACGGAAAACATACCTAGTGTCGATAGTTATGTACTGATCAAGTTCGTCACCATATGACATTTCAATTCAAAAGGTTCGGTATTGAGAACGGGCCAGCATTAATGCTGGCGAAAATTCTAATGTCGTATGACATCTTGATATTCGCCAAGCAACTCGTGTTTATATAGGAAATATGAAACATTATTTGGCCAGTGAATAACTGAAGTACATCACTGTGATTGGTCCCCTAGAACCTAGAAATCCTTATAAGGTGGGTTGTGGGGGATCATGCGCACAGCAGTCCCTTACCAACTTTTAATGTGTCATGTTTGCGTCATATACGGGGTGGTTGACACGTAGTCCATTAATTTGTACTCGTCCACCTGGCAAACTGGTCTCCGAGCCTATTATGTGG